CAGAACTAAACCAGGACTAAACCAGGACTAAAACCAGGACTAAACCAGGACTAAACCAGGACTAAAACCAGGACCTAAACCAGGTCTAAAGCAGGACTAAAGCAGGACTAAACCAGGGACTAAACCAGGTCTTAACCAGACTAAACCAGGACTAAAACCAGGACTAAAACCAGGTCTAAACCAGGACTAAACCAAGGACTAAAGCAGCTAAACCAGAACTAAAACCAGGACAAAACCAGGACAAAACCAGGACTAAACCAGGACTGGACCAGGACTGAACCAGGACTGAAACAGGACTAAAACAGGACTAGATCTTGACGGCAGTAATAGTAGTATATGCAGTAGTAGTAGTAGTAGTAGTAGTATTTGTAGTACCTTGTTCTTGTCCATCATCTTGTATGGCCTTGGCTGTAGTAGTAGTATTTGTAGTATTTGTAGTAGTAGTACCTTGAGCTTGTCCATCAGGTCTTATATTGCTTTGGCTATAGTAGTAGTATTTGTAGTAGTAGTAGCAGTAGTAATAATAGTAGTAGTACCATTTGTACCTTGATCTTGTCCATCAGATCCTGTATTGCTTTGGTTGTAGTAGTATTTGTAGCAGTATTTGTAGTATTTGTAGTAGTATTTGTACCTTGATCTTGTCCATCAGATGCTGTATGGCCCTGGCTGTAGTAGTAGTAGTAGTAGTATTATTTGCAGTAGTAGTAGTAGTAGTAGTATTTGTAGTAGTATTTGTACCTTGATCTTGTCCATCAGGTCTTGTATGGCCCTGGCAGTAGTAGTAGTAGTATTTGTAGTAGTATTTGCAGTATTAGTACCTTGATCTTGTCCATCAGGTCTTGTATGGCCCTGGCAGTAGTAGTAGTAGTATTTGTAGTAGTATTTGCAGTATTTGTACATTGATCTTGTCCATCAGGTCTTGTATGGCCCTGGCAGTGTAGTAGTAGTAGTATTTGTAGTAGTATTTGCAGTATTTGTACCTTGATCTTGTCCATCAGGTCTTGTATGGCCCTGCATGTGTAGTAGTAAGTAGTAGTATTTTGTAGTATTTGTGTAATTATACTTGATCTTGTCATCAGGTCTTGTATGGCCCTGGCTGTATAGTAGTGTATGTAGTTTTAGTAGTATTTGCAGTAATTTAGTACCTTGATCTTGTCCATCAGGTCTTGTATGGCCTTGGCAGTCAGTTAGTCTTGTATTGGAGTAGTAGTACCCTTGATCTGTCCATCAGTTTGTATGGCCTTGTAGTAGTAGTATTTGTAGTAGTATTTGTATTTGTACCTTCAGATGGCCCTGGCTGTAGTAGTAGTAGTAGTATTTGTAGTAGTATTTGCAGTATTAGTACCTTGATCTTGTCCATCAGGTCTTGGATGTTCTTCTCCAGTTCTTGGACTTGTCGTCTCATTTCGTCTTTTCCTTCTTTGAGTCCAGAAACGACCTGAGTGAATCTGCCCATACGAGTCTGGAGCCCGCGGACACACACCAGCCCGTCAATACTGTAACACACACACACACACACACACACACACCAGCCGCACATACTGTAACACACACACACACACACACACCAGCCCGTCAATACTGTAACACACACACACACACCAGCCCGTCAATACTGTAACACACACACACACACACACACACCCCAGCCCGTCAATACTGTAACACACACACACACACACACACACACCAGCCCGTCAATACTGTAACACACACACACACACACACAGCCCGTCAATACTGTAACACACACACACACACACCAGCCCGTCAATACTGTAACACACACACACACACACACACACCACACACAGCCCGTCAATACTGTAACACACACACACACACACACACACACCAGCCCGTCAATACTGTAACACACACACACACACACACCCAGCCCGTCAATACTGTAACACACACACACACACACACACACACACAACACACACCAGCCCATCAATACTGTAACACACACAAACACACACACACACACACACACACACAACACACACAGCCCGTACTGTAACAACACATACTCAATACTGTAACACACACACACACACACACACACACACACAGCCCGTCAATACTGTAACACACACACACACACACACACACACCCACAACCACACCACACACACACACTGTAACACACACACACACACACCACACACACACACAGCCCGTCAACAATCACTGTAACACACACACACACACACACCCAGCCCGTCAATACTGTAACACACACACACACACACACCAGCCCGTCAATACTGTAACACACACACACACACACAAATATTACACACACACACACACACACACACACACAGTTCGCTCCAGACGCTCGTACAGAGCGACACGTTCTGTGTGCAGATTTCAGAAAACAGAATCCATCCTGTTTTTTGTGTTTCTGGGACAGTTGTGTGTCGTGTGAAAGAGTCCAGGTCCAGGTCCAGGTCCAGGTCTTAAACTGGACTTAAACTGGATTTAAAGTGGACATACACTGGACTTAAACTGGACTTAAACTCGACATAAACTGGATTTAACTGGATTTAACTGGACTTAAACTGGATATAAACTGGACTTAAACTCGACATAAACTGGATTTAACTGGATTTAACTGGACTTAAACTGGATATAAACTGGATTTAACTGGATTTAACTGGACATAAACTGGACTAAACTGGACTTAAACTCGACATAAACTGGATTTAACTGGACTTTAACTGGATATAAAACTGGACATAAACTGGATATAAACTGGACAAGAATTGGAATGAACTGGACTTGAACTGGACTTGAACTGGACTTAGTGACTGTTTTATTTTTCACTAATGTTGAGGACATCATCTGGATCCAGAGCTCTTAAAGAAACTAAAGTCAGTATTTTTCACTGTCAGTTAATGCTTTGACGTTCACGTTTGAAACCCTCGTCGTGTTTGTCGTGGTTTCGTCTTTACAAACGACAAACACAAATCTGATCAACTGTTTCACCGAGGACCTGATACCAGCGACTAAACGCTCAGGAAACTCTGCCTCTCTGCGTCTTCCTCATTTAGAAACAGAGACCCCGCCTCTGGACCTGCTGGACCTTCTGGACCTGCTGGACCTGCTGGACCTGCTGGTGTGGTCAGAGGGGTGTTGACGTGCGTCGGTGGTTTCACGAGGTCGTGCTCGTAAAAACACTGACAGGTGCAGCGGAGCCACGTCCTGACAGGAGAATCTTTCATTTGTCACAACAGGAACAAACGAGTTCAACGTCTGCGCTGGATTTACACACAGACAACAAATATATGTGCAAGAAATATTGTGGTCGGAGGCAAGAAACACGGTAGCGTCAAACACAGTGCGTAACCTCGCGTATTTCTCCCCGATGATGGTAAATTCCTGCTGCATTATCGGACGCACAAATAGAAGCACGGAAGAAGGAAAATGTCTTTGTCGTATTCTGAGTGAAAAGAA